ACAAAGTCAAAACAATTTTAATGCACAGACGGGGCAGTTAATTAAAATAGCAACGATCCGTTGCCCAGTGGCTCCTCTACATAGGTACACCACGTATACCCTACAGGGTGCCAACGGACAAGGGTATGGACAGCAACACAAATTCCGCTAAGCAGACGGAGAGAGAGAGAGAGAGAGAGAGGGTGTCTCTGGCCCACAAAATTATGTCCAAAAGTGCATTAAATCTCAAACAGCAGAGTGACTCGCCTTAGGGTATGCTTTAGTCGTTGCTTTTGTAGATATGCCAATAGGTTTTTGTGGCTGATACCCAGCAGCAGCCTCTAGAGCTTCCAAAAGTGATTCAGTCACAAACTCAGACTCTCAGCAAAGAAATCTCTGCAAAGTCGTTCTCCCTCTCCTCTCTCTCTCTATAGGGTATTCCTCAGTCGTAGCCATACTCTCTCTCTCGTGCTGCAGCTCTATTTCGGGTAGTTTCGCCTAGACGACCCGACGGCCACTTGTCGGGCGCAGGCTGAGGTTTCGAGGGATTGGGATTGGGTCTCGATGGCGGCTGCTGCGCTGCGCTGCGCTTCCCATGTTGTTGCCTTTGACAAAATCAAATTAATTTTAATGCCTGTTGGCCGCTTTGCTGCACATTAATTACCAGACGAGCATCGGAGCAAACGAAGGAGTCCCCCCGTTGCACCCCCTGCAGCCCACATCGCTGCGCATTTTGGCATTTCGAATGGTTCCGACTGGTTTATAATTCAATAAAATTTGATTAGGCATTAATTTGCAGTGTCGGCTAATTAATGAGCGCAATATGCAATGCAATCTGCGGATCCTGGGACCCGGGACCTGGGACCTGGGACCCGACAGCTGACAGTTGAGAGCTCCCGCTCCCACCGCAGGCGGAAGCTCTTGCAAGCTCTCTGGGGTTAATGGCTATCATAGAGATACATTCCTCCGCTCTCCGAGATGCCTCTCTCTTGCGCGCTCTCTGGCATTGGCCAGCCATATATGTATGTATGTATGGTTGAGGTCTAAACCGCATCTAATGCCAATTTTTAGGCTGGGCAAAAAACACTGTATTAAATGGGTTTCCTCTTGCAGCTCCTTCTGCTCCTACTGCCTGCCCCTTTCTGCTCCTACTGCCTCACCCCTTTCTGCACACCCCCCACCCCCGCCCCCCCCCACGCCCCCCCCTGCCCAACTGCCTCCCCCCTTTCTGCTCCTACTGCCACCCCCCTTTCTGCACCTACTGCCAGCCGTGTGCAAACGGGGCGTACAGCGGGTTGGGTGGTGGGCGTGTTGGCCGTGCAGAGGCGACCTACTGTTGCATCTCTCTTGCCATCTTTGTTGCTCATTCTGTGGCATAATAGGCCAATTATTACTGCAATTTGCATTAGGCCAACACACACACACACACACACACAAGTAAACACACACACACAGATACAGATGCAGATACCTTCTCTCTGCATAGAGATGTGTAATCCATGAGAAGAAGAAGGAAGCTGCCAGCCAAAGAGAAAGAACGAGAGAAGAAAGCGAGCAGGGTGGCAGGGGGGGCAAGGCAGCCTTTGGAAATTCTTTTGAGCAGCGCGTTGTTATTATGAAACCGTTTAGAGAACGTGTTTGTGAACAGCACAGTAATTTGGTTAGATTACCAATCCGTAGAGGAGCAGTACACAGAGAGTAGTGCCCCACAGATGATGATGATGTGGATGTGGATGTGGCTGTGGCTGCCCAAGAAGAAGGAAGGAGCAGCAGCAGCAGCAGCAGCAACAGCAACAGCAACAGAAACGCGACGAATGTGGGCCAATCTATCACCGCTCAAAGTCACACCAAACCAGAGATTGACTCCAACAGGAGAGTAGCAACAGCGTGAGGCTCCAGGGGGGATCACAGAGAGTGGCAATGGGAATCCCGTTTGGCCATGGCCATGGCCAACGGCAGCGTGTGAATAGAAACGTTAGTGCAGGCACGTTCTGGGATGCCTTGCCTGATAAAAGTTGATTGCAAATTTATAGACGAGCAGATTGCCCATAAACTCATGTCCCAGCCTCGACTTGTGTACCTGGTGTAGCTGTGTACCTGTGCCCATGTGCCCATGTGCCCCTGTGCCCCCCTCCTTTGCATCTGCATCCATCAGAGTCAATCCCAGTCAATCGTCATGGAGATAAGCGCGCTGTCGTTGTCAACACGAGAACAACTTCCGCCAGTGCTCAATCATTCAGAACCCAGACCCAGTCCCAGACCCAGACCCGAGTCACAGTTACAGTCGCAGCTCCAGCACCAGAACTTGGCTCCGGACTCAAAGCCAAACAGAAAGCAGTGCGAAAGTGAAACCGCCCCATCGGAAATTTGCTTTGACTTTGCCTCTAATTGAATTAATTAGCCCGGAGCTTATGCAAATGCAGCGGCAGCAACTCTGACTGTATAATAGTCCCAGTACGAGGCATTCTATGTGGATATTTCTGCATGCCATATGTGCCACAAGTGTCAATATATATCGTGAGCAGCAGCCACAGCTCCGGTTATCATCCGCAGTCGGAGACTTCCCCCTCCCCCTGCCGCCATTCCGTCTTGGCCATTATTCTTCAAAATGCGCCGCAAGCCTCGGCTGTGATCTCAAGTCAAGCAGCCGCCGTGTCCGTGTGTTTCTTCACACAATGGAAACCGAACGACGCGCTGCAAACAGCAGTAGGTTCCGTACCGTTTCCCCCCTTATGCCATGCCCTATATTGGGTCCAATGGGCCGATCACGAACTTTGTCACACGCAAGCCAAATAAAATGTAGTCGGAGAGTGAGAGAGGCAGAGAGAGATGCAGAGAGAGAGAGAGTCACGACGCGAGGGCAGCGAGTGTGGAGTGTCCATTTATGGATTGCCTCATAATCGCGTTCCCCATATGAGCAATGCATTCCTGCAAGACTTTCCTTTAAGAATCGAAGAGGTAGAAGTTGTAGATCCCATTCTACATTTTAGACATTATAACTGGATCAAGGTCATAGGTCATAGCTACGTAAAGAAAGATCTTCCACGTGCAAAAGGGAAAAGAGAAAGAGTAAAGAAGAAGCCCCTCCCTGAGCCTTGTCTTGAGCTATTCTTCCGAGCAGTTCTCTCATTTCCAAGAGTATCTAAATATCGACTATCGTTACGTTTGCTTTCCCTTCAATGTTGTTGTCTGTTTTGCACTCGTATTTCATTTTAGCAGCCAAGCAGTGTGGAGGGGAGAACCGGGCGAAAGGTGGGGGGCAACGCCAACACACTCCAAAGCCGCTGCCAAGTAGACCTTCAGACGCCAAACACTCCAACGCCGCAGTCATTGGAGCAGCAGTCTCAGTCGCCGGCGCAGTCACAGCCAACGCGCAGCAGCAGCCACAAGAGCATTCGCATTCAGCTTCAGTCAGTGGGACAGTTGGACAGGTGGAGGAGGAGGCCAAAGGAGGGAGGTCTAAAGAGGTGCCAAGAGCGGCTCAGCGGCCGACAGCTCGACTTTGCAATTGCGCACTTCTGACTACAAAATACGTTTTGATACGTTTTCCATGCAGCCCAGCAAACCACACACAGAGGCCGCCCGGTCTGGCATCTCCATAAATATTGCCACCTCGTGTGGCGTATCGCATTCGCCTTATTATACATAGTAGATTTGTGTACCCACCGTGTACCCCCGCCGAACGGAGCGATTCATTCATTCACCTGCAGTGAGGCACTCCGCAGTGTGGCTGAAGTGCAGACAGTGAGGCAGATTGACACCTGACATGCATCGAATGGAATCAAATCAAATCGAATCGTAGCTGTTGCAAGCAAAGCGAAGCTTAGATCGAAGCTTTCTCACCAGAGATATCCCATATACCATATCCCAGATTTTAGATCTAAAACAGGGCCTTATCTCGCAGGGCCTGGTTCTGGTTCTTGTTGTGGCTGTGGCTCTGGCCTGATTCCCTCTGTAATTTATTCATATATATACATATATGCACATGCACCTATGACCGTATCTATATAATTATATAAACCCCGATTTGGTACGCTTGTGCAAACCACTGGCCACAACCAGTGCAGGCGTTGAGTTATAGCACTTACGGGCACTCGAACACATGTGCTGCTGCTGTCTCTCCCCACCAGAATATGGTAGATGATTCATTCATTCGCTGCTCACCCATCGATCGCGAGATTTATGGCCATGTTGATAGGCAAATTTCCGTTGGCCGATACCGATACAGATACAGATACAAACCATGTAGATACAAATGTGTGCAGTGCACGAATATGAAGACACTCCAAAACCCATTGACAGATGATTAGTAGATGCTGACCCCTAGCCATTTTGAAACTTCTTAATCATTTAATTTTATGCCAGAGCTGATGGAGATATCCGTACAGAGGTAAATGATAGAGCCATTTGAAAAGTCGAGCAGTAATCTATGTAATATAAGAGTTATTTTATTCAGATGAAAATGATGGTAGAGCATGGTTTCTGAAATTAAATGATCTACATTTATTTGATATTTTTAATATTTTATATTGCACAAAAAAGTGTACAATCCATAAACATAAAGACAGTAGAGGGTGACCCCGACAAATAATACCTAATTGACTGCCAAAAGCCTCAACAATGGATAAATGAAATCATTCGCACTATGTTTTGCACATTGGAAATCAGACTACTAGGTGGGGTGAAAAGTAATTAAAGTAAGTACAATATAAAAGTAATTAGCGTAAGAAAATGTTAACGCAGCATGTTCCCCTCCTATTTATGCAAACATTTAAAATTACAGCGCGATACAGCCACTAGTTTATTTTTTAAAGATTCTGAATGGGCAGAAAATGGTGACCCCGGCAAACATGAATAATGCAGAGCAGGCTGAGGAGATGCAGTATTCATACTTACACAAACCAGTGAACGGCAAAGATGATCGGCACATACAGGAATTATCTCATCAAAGGGCAGCAGTATATTTTTTATAAAAAATGGTGACCCGGACCTCTAGTCGAAATATGAACAATCCAGTATAATAAGTATAATAACTTTTTATTGTTGTTGTATTCTGCGGTTTGCGTACAAATCGAATGTTGGATATTTGGTTAGTAATTGTTTTTTGCCTGCGCGTATACGTATGCAGATATATATTTTATATATATTTTTGCCATTTTGTTTTGTTTGTTTATTTGTTATCGCTATTATCGCTATCGAACTAAGTCTGCTATCAGTCTACGAATGCATGTGTGATAATCGGTAATCGCTAGTTGGTAATCGGTAATTGGTGATTGGTAAATCGTGAAATGGGTTAGACTCCAAAACATATACGCTGATCAGCAGATCAACAAATTGACAAACTAAAACTAGAACTAGAACTAAACCTAGGATCCAGCTTCTTGTAGTAGTACAACCTTCGCATTCGTTGGTGCATGCACCAGAAACACACACACACACACACCTGACACATGACACATACACAATATAAGTATAATAATCGTAGAAATAAGCAACAACGTAACACAGAAATCAGTTCCACAAATCGATGGCCTTACAAAATAATACCCATAGAGAATCCTGCGCTTTTGCTACATAGTCCGAATGTATGTGCTGCTGCTGCTGCTGCTGCGTGTGATATATATTTGTTTATTACTCGTACGAGCATGACTACTAGCTGTGAGAATATTCGATATACATATTCGATATATATATTGTATGTGTGGTGTGTTCGGAGGAGCAGCCCCTCCCTCAATCAAAGGCGGCCACGTAGTATGCAATGTGTTCGAGTTCTCTTCGAGTCCAAAAAAGTACCTCGAAATTCTACATAATAATCGGGTGGGTTTCCGGGTTCGTCACTCATGCGACAGTCTCCTCACAGATCGATATCCATCTGTATCTATATAACTGGTGGTTGGTTGTTCAGTTGTTCAGATCTACATAATATCAAAACAGCTTTTGCTTTGCGGGGGAACACTATTTGGTCTATCTTGGTAGGTGGTGGTGTTGGTGGTGGAATTTTGCTGCTGTCTGCTACGGAACTGACGAACTGGCCGGGGTGGGGGGACCCTGCTTAGACCCTGCGATTGCTGTGCTCCTGCTGCAGACTGACGTTATTCATCACAGCACTCATGTCCACCACCACCGAGTCGGTTATTAGTTCGGTCTGTCCCTCGAGCATGCCCTCGCTGTGTCCATTGGGCGTGCCAGCGGGCATGTCCTGCAAAGAAGTGGCAGATACGATAAGTGATACACTCATTGCAGAAGCTGCTGTTAACCCACCTGATAATTGACGGCGGCAGCATCCAGAGCCATTAGCTCCTTGCGTGACAGCTCCTCAACGATGGCGGCGGTGTAGCAGTCGCCCAGCATGTTGTTGGTCGTCCGAATGCGATCGCTGCAGTCAAAACAAAAGAGCCATACAGACTGGAGCTACTCTAAGGGAGGGTATCCGCATACTCACACAAACCAGTCGACGGCAAAGAGGAGCGTCACATCCTGGACAGGGGCATCGATGGCGGTGAGCACCACCAGGAGCAGCACCAGAGCAGCGCTCGGCACACTGGCCGAGCTCATGGACGCGGCCGTGGAGGTGAGCAGCACGGTGAGCAGCTCTCCGAAGCCCAGCACCATGCCGCTCATCTGGGCGATGAAGATCGATGCCACCGCGATGTAGAGAGCGGTGCCGTCCATGTTGATGTTGCATCCAATGGGCAGAACGAAGCGGGTGATGCGCGGGTCCACGCGCAGCTTCTCGTTCATGCAGCGGAATGTGATGGGCAGGGCAGCAGCGCTGCAGTTGCAGTGGCAGGATTGGTGGTGGCGGTGGCGGTGGCGGTGGTGGTGTAGTGTAGATGTTGGGTTGGTGGATTTTCAAGTGTTTTTTTTTTATTCAAGGTTTTTCGGCGAAACAAAAAAGTTTTCATAACAAGAACAACGTAACAACGACGGGACGGGGGGCAAATCAGGGATCGAATCGGATCGGATCGGAAACCAAGAAGAAGGAAAAATACTTGTAGCACGTTAGACGTTCGCAGATCTCGAGAGATCTCACAGAGACACCCTCGCTATCGCTATCACAGAGAGCAAGGCAGAGAGAGTGTGAGAGAGAGAGAGAGAGAGAGAAATGGCTTACGTTGAGGCGGTGGCAAAGGCGGTGAGCATTGCCTGGATTAAGCCCGCGTAGAACTTGAAGGGATTGCGGCGCACGATCACAAAGTAGATGGCCTGCATCACCACGAACTGGTAGAAGAACACGCCGATCGCCACCGTAAAGATGAACCAGATGAGCTGCGACATCACCAGGCCCAGGTCGTCCACGCTCAGTATCTTGCCAGCGATCACCGAGCTAATCCCCACCGGTGTCAGCCACATCACGCATGTCACCATTTTCATGATCACCTCGAAAATGGCCGAGAAAAAGTCGACAACGACCTGCCCCTTCTGGCCAATGGTGCCCAGGAAGGTGCCAAACACCAGGCAGAAGAACACAATGCCCAGGGTGTTCGTACCGCTCCGGTATTGCACGTCCCGCACGAGCACCACTTCGTCCAGCTCATCGGCCTGGCGCTGCGCCTCCACTCCGCCGGACAGCAGGATGGCCGTGTCGTTCAGCGTCTCGTTGAAGGCGTGCAGGATGTTCGGCTTGGGCAGGTAGACGGTGTGGGCCTGCTGGATAGACGCCTGGAACAGGTTGTCCGGAAATATGTTTCTGTGGAGAGGTGAAAAGAAATGGGAGAAATGGACAGTCGCGCCCTTGCAATTTTAAATTCAAATTCAAACTTCAGCGGAAATTAATGCACTGCACAAGCAGTAAACTGCTTTCCATTTCACAAGTAATGTCAATATGTCGCATAGATGGCGCCAGTGATTGACTTTATCCAACCGGTTCAATCGGAAGTTTTACTTTATTTCCTCTGCTATTTTGTCATGTTTTATGGTATATTTGCACAAACTCCATTTATTTTATTCGCGAGCAAAAGAGATTGTACCGGAACAGTGAAGACGGGAAAAATAACACGCGGCCCGTGGAAATTCAAATTCAAACTTAGAAAGTTATTCTGCTTGAATAAACTGCTTGGCCGTTCAGTTTAGTTCGCAGCCACAAATAGATGGCGCTGTCGCCTCGCTTGGCAAAACTGCTTTACCTAACCGTTTCGGCTCGCGCCACAGTTTGAAATTTAAACCTGACTTTAACGCGTTTCATTCACAAATTCCACTGGACCACTTTTATGCGACTTCTGCAGCAATTTTATGTAATTTAAATGCAACGTACTAGATTCAGTTTGGAATCAACTGCTTTACATTGGAATAGATTGCACTGCTTTTACCAAACTGTTTTTAAATGACACGCGACTTGAACGCGACTTAAACGCGACTTGAACGCGACTTGAACGCGATTTGAACGCGATTTGAACGCGATCTGAACGCGACTTGAACGCGATTTGAAAGCGGTTTCCTCTATTGATCTTTCGCAGGACAGTTCACAGTTTCTCGTGACTTTGCTCACTCACCTGCCCAAATCGAGGAGGCTGTCCAGTAGATTCACGGTCCGCTTGTCCGTCGAACGGTCGTCGTTGTTGTGCATATCCGGATTGCCGGGATGAATGAGCAGCACGAGGGCAATGCCCAGGGCGGCGTTGAAGAACGAGGTGCTGGCGAAGTAGACGAGCGTGCGCAGGGCGATCTTGCCGTTCATCTTGGCATTGAGGCTGGCGGAGCCGGCAATCAGGCTGGAGATGACCAGCGGCAGGATCATCAGCTTGAGCACACGCATGAAAAGCTCCCCCGGATACGAGATCAGCATGATGGAGTCCCCGTGCAGATGCAACGGACGCAGCGAGAGGCCTACCAGCCAAAAGGGTAGGAAGCAGAGAAAGTGAAGGAGGAGCATGATGAATGAATGAATGATTTATACGCACCCATGACGACTCCCAGCAGCACTCCGGAGAGGGTCACCAGCAGCATCAGATTATCGCTGAGCCACTTGCGGTAGCCGGTGAGCTCCACGGGTGCGTCGCTGCGTTCCGTGGTCTTCGGTGGCAGCTCGCTGCCGTGCACGGAGGCCGTCACATTCGGAGGACCCATTTTGGCAAAGAGGTAATCTGAAAATTTCCCAGACTTTTCCATTGTCCGCGGACGCGCAATCGAAATGCAGCGCAGCGAAAAGCACAGCAGAACCGAAGCAGCAGTAAAAGAGAGGCAGCCAGACAACAGTTACGCGGGGCGGTGGGGGGCAGGAGTTTGCACAGAGAGAGAGAGCGGGAGAGAGAGAGCGAGAGAGAGTACGAGACGCTGCTGCTTTCCTTTGGTTTTTGTTGCCGTTGCTGCCGTTGAATCACAGACTCTGAATCACTTTAATATTTATGGCCAAAAGTTGCGAGGATTATAGCTCGTGTCTGTCTGTGTGTCTGTCTGTCTCTGTGTGTGTGTGTGTGTGGGGTTGACTGTGTCCTGTGGTCCTGTGGTCCTGTGGCTGCTCCCTTTCGAGCGTGTGTTGCCTCAAAATTATTGATTTTTGAGATACTTCACATTGAACTTGAGAATGTTGATTAGATAAGCCATTTGGCGGCTGTGGCTGTGGCTGCGCGCTCGCCTCAGGGGGGCTTCTACCGGTGGGGGGCTGTCTTCTTGTCCGTCAGCCGTGTCTGTGTCTGTGTGTGGCCGCTGGTGGCTGAGTGCCAGTGCCAGTGCCGTACCGCTGCCGGGCCGCCTTCTGCTGCTAACGAGTGTCGTTGGTGGGTTAATGGCTCCGTTGTTGTGGCTTTTCCGGTACGCTGCCTCCACTGGAAACTTCTGTCTGACCTTCGCCAAAAACGAGGGGGGGCTGCTGCTGCTGCTGCTGCTGCTGGACACGGTTCGCTGCACTCTCTACTGCACTTTTCGGCGATGAATAATCGATTTTTCTGCCACTCGTGTGGGGTTTGGGGTCAGGTCAGTCGATGCAGGGGCCGTGGAATCTCTTTTTTTGGGAATCTGTGTCAGCGTGGGAGCCTCACTCGTGTGGAGCAGGTCAACGGTCAGCAGCGCAATGCGGGAATGCCCCTGTAATTGCTGGCACTTTTCTTTTAATTATTTCCGCTTTCGTTTTCACTATTCACTGGCTGCCCTTTCAGTCTGCGCTTTATCCTGTTTCTCTTTGCCTGTCGCTTTCTCTGTCTCTGGCTCTGCTCCCGTGCGTGTGTGTGTGCCTGTGCTGCTCTGTAAGTCCTTTTGCTCGACGATGAAAACCGTTCACTCCAAGCGTCCTCCTGCGAATGTGCGGCTCTCGCGTCTGCGAGTCGCTTTTATGGTCAAGCACTCCTCGCGCTCGCACTCTCTGTCTCTGTCTCTCCCGCTCTCCCGCTCTCTCGCGAGTCGCAGGAGTCGTGAATGGTGCCATAATCCCTCTCCGCTCTCGCACTCTTATGGCTCTCTAGCCGGCTTTTGGGTACGGCAGCAAAATGTCAGCCACAAAAACGAAAATGAAATGGAAATTGAAATGTAGACGGCACGCACTTGCAGCACTTGCTACACCCACCACCAACCCCTCCCAGCCCTTTCCCCCAGCGATGATTGACGCTCCATAATTATCATAGAGCGGAAAATTCCGCTTGTGGAGCGAGCGGCTTACGCAAATGCCCCGTCCAGGCAGGGTAGGGGGAGCGCAAAAGTATCCCTTTCCTGGTAATTTGATTTAATGGCAGCGCTAATCGATTCAAGTGAGTTGGCGGCAATTGACTCGAATGCTCAGAATGTGTCCTTGGGCTGCCGTTGGCCCAAAGGGTGAGCGAGCATACAGCCGTTTATCGATCCGTTCGAGCGCGCCTTGTTAGCTGTCATTCATAAATCATGTGAGGGAGCAAGCCGCACCCCGTCCCGTCCACACCACCCACACCACACCACACCGTCTTGGGTCCGCGCTATCCACTGTCCATCTTTTGGGCAGACAGCCAAATCAATAGGGCAATGCTATATTTAACATTTAACATGCTCTGCCGTGGCCTGGCCTGCCCTGCCCTGCCTTGGCCTGGCCACAACAAAACCGTGCTGCATCCAACCTGATCCGTGTGATCCAATGTGATCCCCCCCACCCAATGCCAACGATCCTCACTGCCAGATAATTAAGATAATTGCAACGACTGTTCGCTGTCAGCATTGCTTTGGTTTCCCCACAGAGAGACAGAGAGAGACTGAGACTGAGAAAATCTATTGGCACTTCCCTAGAGCAAACTTGTGTGTGCGAACTTGAACTTGACATTGGGACCAGGCAGCAAAGATCTAGGGGGATATCTGTGGGGCGTGGGGGCGGTGACAGTGGATGGATGGATTAATGGATGGGCTGGGCGATCAATCGAGTGTGCGGCATTTCGATGGCCTGTCACTCGGCTCATTCATTTTGGATTTCGGTGGAAACAAATTGCCATCCGGCACGAATGTGGCGACATTCCGCTTGTCCGATCGAAGGTCGTTTCTTTGCTGGCTAATGGATTTTTAATAACTATATTTAGTCCGAATTTGGCTGCCTCTGCCTCGCTGCTTTCGACTGCCTTCGGATTGCTTTTCGCTGCGCCCGATGGAACACTCACCTTTCACGATTAACCACAGATTACCCAGGATGGAGCTTGTCAATGGCCCGCCGCTACCTGAATTATGCTCCACTTTGCACACACACACACTTTTCACTTGTCTCACGTTTCACTGGAGTAACTGGCACCTGTACACCTGTACACCTGTACACCTGTGCGTATGCTTAACGTCTTGCCAATGCAGTCAGTTGGAACAATTGCCGCAGCAGTTTCTGCTGGCGTTGCATCAACAGTTTCAGAATGCGTTGCACCGCTGTAGCCGTTGTAGTGGCTTGCACTTTCCTACCTGCCAAAGACAGATACAGTCAGAGAGGGAGAGAGGGAGAGAGAGAGTGGGTGGGTGGAGAGTGGGAGGTTTTTGCTTTGCTTTGGTTTGACTTCAAGGTTTGTTTACTAGGAAAACGCAATGCAGGCAGGCAGGCAGGCAGGCAGGCGTTGGAGCGGTGCAAATCGAATTAGGTGAGTGGTTGGGGCATACAAGAAAGGGCTTAAGTCGTCTCGACGGGGGGGGGGGGGCCTAAAGAAGAGGTCTGTCTGCCTGCCTGACTGCTTACGTGACCTCTTCCCCATGGAGAAAATGCTCAGGGGAAATGTCTAGAAGGAATGGATCGATCCCTATCCGTAGCCCTACCTCGACACTGACGAGCGAGCACCACACCACACACACGAAGGAACGAACGAACGAGCCGAAACCGAACGGATAACTGCAACCGGTATGCCGCGCGCGTTCGAACTTAACTGATCGTCGAATGCGGCACGCTGAACGCTATTTAAACTGCTGCACAGATTGGTGTCTCGAACACGTAGCTCGGCGCTTCTCAGGAGGCGGCGGCGGCGGAGGAGCAGCTGCAGATGGCGGCCAAGTGAGCGCTTCGATGTCCGCTGGGCTCGGCAATTGAACGGAAAGTGAGCAATAAATTTAATTTAAGCAGTGCAGCAACGGCAGCCCAAGAAAAGCCCGTACACGTTCCTCTTCTACCCCCCTGCCGTTCACATTTCTTTGGCTTTGTTTTTGCCACATTTCGTTTTCACTTCGCGCTGCCGTAAGGGTTCCTTCCTTTTGCTTGAGGGAGAGGCGACTAATGACGGCAGCGAAAGCGCGTCAGAAGGTGCCCCCATCTGTTTCCGTTTAAGTCTTTGGCTGCGGTGCCACGCGGCCCTGCCCCTGCCCCCTGCCCCCTGCCCGCACACTGGCTGACACCCGAAAACAAACGACAATTGTTTATTGTACTTTGACACACTTTAAATCTTTCGTTTCGGGAAGAATTACCATCAAACGCGACACCGTAGAAAACAAAATCAGGAATATGAATTTAATGCAAGAAGCTGCAACGACTTGGGGAATACACTGCAGGAAAAAGGGAAGGGGATTAATGGGAAGGAAATTCCAACTGCAACGCTGCAGGAATAATTAATTATTGCTTTGGCATTGGTTAGATATAGTTTTCGATTTGGTTTGCATTTAAATTATGATCTGCATCGCTTTAATATTGCTACATCCCATGATATTTTACTTGTAGTTGGGGAGCTGTATTATCATTCGTTTATTCATGCTTCGAGCTACCTTGCCTGAGGCACCCATCTGGCACTCTTCGCTGAAGCTTTCCCTCTAGCTTCCAAAGTGAGGCACTGACGGAGATGCCAAGAGCTACCACTCCGGCAGAACTTATCGAAAAGTTTACTGAACATTTATCTATATTGCCAGACAAACGGCCCACACAAGTAACAGATAACGAAGCTGCCGCTGCATGACTATCCTCGTATATATACCCAAGTACCATCCACTGGCATCACTTGCCAGCAGCCCAAGCCCAAGCCCAAGTCCAAACCTCATTCAAAAGTAAAACAACTCACGCTCCGAGTGCCGCATCGCCGCATCGTCGCATCATGTGGATAATTCTAGTAAATGATTGTGTTGTGGCATGGCATGAGTTGCGTGGATTGCAAATAGAAATTTAAGTGGAAAAGTGGAAAATTGTTCACCGAAGAAGGAAGGGTGTGAGAGAGCCGAGTGGTGGTGCTCAGAGCCAAGTACTCATATATTACGCATACGCCACGTTTGCCAGCACTACAACACCACCAAACACATGTACAACAGATGCCAGCACAAAGATGAAGGCATTTCGTGTGTCTCCCGATTTGTCATTTTAATTAGAGCGCAGTGCAGGTGCAGGTGCAAGTGCAGCAGCCACACGCGGCGTGGCAAGGGGGCAGCGGGCCAGCGGGACAGCGGGGCATGTTGCTATAAACGGCTGAAAATGTTTTCAAAAATAAATGAGCTGCCGCCACAGCTACAGTCACAACTACAGTCACAGCTACAGTCACAGCTACAGTCACAGCTACAGTCACAGCTACAGTCACAGCTACAGTCACAGCCACAAAGCTTCCTTGCTCAAATGATAGCCCCTATTATAGGCCCCTATTATAAGGCCAATTTCCATAATATATGAGCAACTGGAAGACTAATGCGAGGGCGGGTGCCGCTGCGGGTGTGGGTGCTGTGGCATTGCGTGATGGATCAGCGGCAACTCTCTCTTTCTCGCTCGCTCTCCCTCGCTCGCTCCCCCCTTCGAAAGGTTGACTTACATAAGAGTCGACGACAGAGTCAAAGCCAAAAGCCAATTAGGGGTCAGTCTTCGGGGGCAACGGCGGCAGTAGGTGGGCAAGAACTCGATTGGGTCTAAAAATTGCACAGAACTTGCTTGCCACACACACACACCCGCACAGAAGCGGCAGAGGTGAGTTGCAGTGGGGCAGGGGGCGCCTACGTCGGTGAATAAAGGCGAGTCACGCGCAGCTGGCGCATACCGGATTTTGGGGGACGCCTGCACCTGACCCACTCAGCCAGGCCAGGCCAGGCCAGGCAGGGCCGGGACACGTATACTCTCGGCGCACGTTGCGCCATGTCGTGCTGCCGCTGCTGCTGCTGCTGCCGCTGCTGCTTTTGGCTTCTCAATGAGCGCCAGAGCAGTACAATGACACCAAAGACAGCTGTCTTTGTTTACGACCCATCTCTTTCTGGCGCTGAGACGGAAATATCTGAATTTGCCGAGGGTCCGACAGCACAGGCTGTTGCATCGTTTTGTTTACGGTGCATCCCGCTCGCACCCACGACAAACGCCTGCGCCTCCTGCTCGCACATTCCGGCACTCTCTCGGGCACGGACAGCGCATGCGTCTGCCTCAGCCACGGCCACGATTATGGCATGGCATGGCATTGGGTTTATGGCAGCGAGAGAGTCCCACAATTATGGCTGGCACTTGTTCTGTGGCCATAAAGCGGTGGGTGTACGGGCTAAGCAGGAAGCTCTGGCGGCGCTGGCACAGCTGTGGTTTGTTTACATGCAGCCGAGCCGGCTCACAGCCACAACTGCTACACATGGGCATTGGGCAAGGGCAAGGGCAGTGAGGTGAGGACTCTAGCTGGGAGTGGAATATGTCCCTCATCTTTGCTCTTCCTTGCCTCAGCAAACGCCTCGACACTGCTGCAACGAGACTCGCGGAGACCTAAGCTCATTCCAGGTAACAAAAAACCAAAAACAACATTTATTACGTGTGCATGAGGCAGCCAATTAAAGCTCGATTCGTGTGCACAAGCGACTGCTTCTCAGGAGAATGCCCAAGAGTGCAAAAACAAATTGCATGTCATGTGCATGACGAAGAATATTCACTCAAAATATTAATTCTTCGAAAATAAACAATAAATAAATTTAATTTTTCATAAAGAAAAGCGGCAGCGCCATACCTTCTATTGCATATACCTTGGCGCCGGCCGGAAAATGTGATTTTACGTGCATAGAAAGGGACAGCAACAAGCAGAGATAAACGAGAGAGAGAGAGCTACGCGGAGATGTCTCTCAAAAAGGGACATAGAGAGAGAGCGAGATTGAAACAAATTGAAGGCTTCTGCCGCTGCAGAGGCTGGACGGCGTATAAAAGCAGCCTTGCCAGCGCCGGCACTCAACAGTCCATGGACTGTGCCACACGCAGCAACACATACCCAGCCCCATACATTCCTCTGCCAGGTGCTGCCGTGTAGCAAGGAAATCTCGTGCAACCGAATCAAGCGCCACAAATGTCAATCAATCGAAACCCAATCGAGTTAAAGCTGCACGATCTGCAGCGCAAATCAAATAAACTTCAATTGGGTTTTAGCTCAGGGCCGCCCCCAACCCGCCTGTGGATGCAATGCGCCTCACCCTACCTACCTCCCCTCCCTTTCGCTCTCACTCTCTGTCTGTCCGTATAGCTTTTGGCTAATAGAATTTGAGGGGCTCGAAAAACCCCAAAAACAAAAACCTAATTCGATTAATGAGCAAAGCGCGGCAGCGTGGCTGGCCCTCAGGCATGTGGCATGGGGCATGGGGCACATGCAAATTATCCGATTTTTTTACCATTCTTAATTAACATTTAAAATGCTTCAGAGTTTGAGTTTTTTTTGTTCACTGCACGCCCTGGTTAAACCTTTTGGCGCTGCGGCTGGCAGGATGAGGATGAGGAGGCAGAAACCACTCGCTTAACCACAGGTGGAACGTGGAACATGACGTGAGAGTGGTGCAAGATGAATGGTGAACAGAACAGCACAGAGCAGTGGCTGGGGAATGACGGGTACACACACACACGTACACACACATCCACTCATCCGGCGAAAGTTGCAAAATGTTAAATATTTGCAACACCTGAAAAATTGAATATTTTTCATTAAAAGTTTCCCGACGGCAGGCAACGCCTGTTGTTGCCACAAGAGTGGGAGGGGGGGGGGGGCTGTGTAGCATAGGGTGGGGTAGTGATAGCGGGGAGGAGGAGAAGTCGTCTCAACCGCAGTCAATAAATAAAGTTTGCAAAGTGCGTGGAAATGTATGCCAAGATTGAACACTGTGGTTTGCTAGTGCTGGCAGCGTGAGAGTAATGTGCGCTGTGGGATGAGGGATAATGACTGATTTGTGGGTGAAATATATGATATATGAGTACTGCGATCATGGCATGACCGCAAATGCTAAAGAATGTGCTACAAAGATTTATTGTGAGGCTGCTCTGCTGCTCCTCTTGCCTCTGCTGTTTAGTTAATTGTGGGAGTCTTTTTTTTGTCAACATTGGAGTTAGAGATCTTCATAATAGATGGGAATACAAACCGGCATAGCTATAAAAAATATACAGAAAATATACAGAAAATATAGATAAAAGCAAATATAGAAAATACAAGCATGAAACGCGCGCTCTTTGTCGATTAACTTAGTTCTAGAGCTGCCAGACTACACCTTTGTTCTCCCTCAACTACTACCCTAACTGCGAATATTTTGCTGATTCTTTGCATTCGTATTCCCTGCACTTTTATCTTGCAAATGCCTGAGACCGAATCTTCAAGTGTGATTCGTGAGCAGAAAGTTTTGTTTAAACAGGCTTATGAGAGCTTTAATCCCATGAATGATATTGGTACAGCTGATTGCCAGTTCTTTGCCCTTTAGCCACTCGGCATTTATTGTGCCCGAATCAACATCGATCTGTGAGGGTAAACCTCCAGCGATGTTTAGTTCTGTGCACTCCACCCTTTGCACCTGCCATTCCTCTTTGGCTCGTTGTCGCGGTTTGTCGCCTCTCTCGCCCAGTTGTGCCACCAAATCAATTTACAAGCTTCAGCCGCAGCTCTCTGGCACTCGCACTCGCACTCGCACTTTTGTGGTAAGCCGCGGCATGGACCTCGACAGAAAGACAAAACGAACTGGGAATGGGAATGGGTTGGGCTGGTGGGCTGGTGCGGTGCGGCGACAGTGGGCTGGCACGTGTTTAGGGGGCTGGGGGCTGTGGGGGGAGCAGCAGCCCTGCAGCAGATGGAAGAAGTCTGTTTAAAGCGCCATCATAATCAGCAGCATCATCATCATCCCCTGCCGCCTGCCCCTTACCTTGTGCCCACCACACCGCCA